ACACACACACACACACACACACACACACACACAAACACACACAAAAAGAAAACAGCCCAAATATCAACCTCTGACTGTGTGTGCAGTATAAAAAAGGTTTATCTTACTGATATAGCCTACACATGTGCATATTATACTAATAAAAATACACCATTAGCACACATCTGCATTGAATCAGTAATTACATTTTTTTAGCTCTGAAAAAAGACAGCATTATAGARAGTGACACTCATCTTTAGAAATGAAAACTTGTAAAGAAACAGATGGGGGTGGGTAAAAGGTTTGCTGCAAGCACATGCATAAGAAAAGTCAACTAATAGTCCTCGTTTTGCAGAAGGAGGGGGTAGGTCCTCAGATTCTCAGAAACCCTTCTTTTTGGTGCATATACAGTTGATATTTACCAAAACAATTTTGTAGTGACACACTACATTTTGATATAATTTCCTTATGAATACTTTCTAAAAACCTGCCAAAAGTGGTTAAAAATAGTCCAAACTTTAACAACCCGGCCAAAGCTGTTTTTTCCAGCCCAACGTGTTCAAAAGAAGCCCAATTGGGTGGAAACCAGCCCAATCTGGCAACACTTTTGCTGCCTAACATTAGCTTGTGTTTTGCCGAGGTAAAAAAATATTGATGTGCAGTTGGAAGTGCACTTTTCTTGACACACAAATACTTATCACATCCAAACACAAAATCAATCATGTATGTTGTCTTTTCCTTGGGTACACCATAGCAGAGGTCCTGGCCATGCTGCAGGACTCTGAAACTGTGGACATCACAGTTGTGCCTGAGTCAGAAATGCATGCTCATGACACAGACCGTGACAGTGACCAATATGATGACGAGGCCACTGGTGACCAAAACCTCCTCTCATTGAGATTACTGAAATGTTAAGGCTTTCTACCTAATTCAGATATGCAACTGCCAATGCTCCCCAATGATGATCTTGGGTGCTCAGTGAGTCAAAGACTAGAAAGGTCAGTGGCACCAACGAAAAGGTGACCCGTCAGATCGTTGGGCCCATGCTCTACAAAACTAAGAACCAAGACAGGAAATTCAAAAAGATATAAAGATTGAGGCCAAAGCACCAGCACAAGCATCAGATCCCTTGCTATGTCCCCAAAGAACATCCTGGCTTCACATCAGACRATCCAGTGGATATCTTCTTCACATTCTGTCCCAAATACCTCAGAGATGCCACACTGGAAATGTCCACTCTCCATGATGAACAAAAAGGGAAAACACTCAATGTGACCGAGGATGAACTTCTGACATTATGGTATTGTGTTGATCAGATTAAAAAAAACAGTTAAAATTGTTTGTTTAGAATTTTAAACAGGAGGAACCTGAGGCTCAATGTTTTTGGTATTATTTATTCTGACTACATTATTATTTTGTTATTACTATATTATTATTATTAGTTCTCAGTTATGAAAAGGTGACATTTGACCTAGTGACAAGCTGTGTGACTACTAGCAACAATTGTTGCCAGTCATAAAAATGCTATTTTCTTCAAAACAAAATACATCTTGGTGAAAATAAACACAAAACATGATTCAGAGGAACTCAACTGATAAAATTATATGCCTTACAACTCTGAAAAAAATTTGGGCACAAATGGTTTAAAAGAGACAAACATGAAATGGGGACGCGCTCCATGCAAACAATACATTACCACAACATCTAAAGGTTGTGCATGGATCAATGCATATTGACTGATGCCTTGGATGAAGCTATGGCCGTTCTGGTCAATCCTTGTAAATGTTGTTTGTGATCTTGTGCCAGATCTCTCAAGATGTGTTAGCACTGAAAGAATATGTTGTGGGTGACTCGCAGCTACTACCACACCAAATATAAACTTATCTGTGAAACTGGTTGAGATGTAGTGTTTTTTGTGTTTTAATGTGTCAGCTGACTGAGGCAGCCACCGAGTACTGAGACTCCAAATGTTATTAAATCCTCAGTGTACAGATAATGAGTTCTTTCAGAAAGTTTCATTAAATCCATCTTGTCGTTTATCAGGTATTATGCTAACACAACACAGGAACACACATTTAAGGTTATTGCCCTTTCAGCGGCAGGCAATACTAATGTTGCCTGTAAACCTGGAACCTCTGGATGAAGTTTCCATGTTCTAAAAGGGTTTTCTAAAGGTTCTCCAGTTTCCTCCCACAGACCCAAAGMATGCATGTTAGGTTAATTGGTCATTCTAAATTGTGTGGGCATTTTATGGAAACAAGCTAGTCATTTTCCAGGTTTTCCCTGATTTCCAGGGTTGCTGGGAACCCTATTGTTTGCCTCGTTTGTCTCTGCATTCCTGTGATAGGCTGAAGACCAGTCAGGAATGTCTCCTCCCTTTGCAACAGCTCTGTGATCCAATGGGTGCTTGTGAACCCAGATCACAGTAAAGAACTAGGGTGGAAATTCTGGGAGGATGGGTTTCTGCAACTTGTCTACCTGGAGAACATGTTAATAAATGTTTAGTTTTCATTTTGTTTTACAAACAACCTCAGTAATGAGATGGAATTCCAGGGTTTAACCCAGAAAACCAGCTAAGCCCAGTGGTAGGGCCACTTTGGCAGCCCACCACTGGCCCACCATGTTTTTGTTAATAAAATGTTAAAGTTGACAGGAAATTTGAAAATATGACGTATTGCAATTATGTGTTATTGTAAGACATTGTTGACAATACTTAAACACCCACTATAAGCTGGCAGTTATTTAAAACTTATTGCATATTAAAATTGTGCATTTTAATTTTTAAATTAATGGTAAATGGACTGAACTTATAGAGCACTTTATCAAGTCCCTCCGGACCCCAAAGTGCTTTATACTTACAGACATTCACACATTCATACTCACATTCACACACTGATGATGGTAAGCTACATTGTAGCCACAGCTGCCCTGGGGCACACTGATAGAGGTGGGGCTGCCATGCACCGGCGCCACCGTATCCTCTGACCCCATCAGTAGGCAAGGTGGGTGAAGTGTCTTGCCCACGGACACAATGACTGAAACGGCTGGACGGAGGATCGAACCGGCAACCTTCCGGTGGTTTGATGACTCTTGAAGAACATCTTGCAGACATTATTCTAACTAAATATTTCCTCTCTGCTCTGATAAAAACACGCTGTCGCTCGTAACTTTCCACTACACTCTGCACCGAGTGTCTTTGGAGGAGGGTAAACAAAGAGGTTGTTTCCCGGGCTTACTACTACTGGTCACGTGATATTACCGTAAAACCCTACATATCAGCGAAAAGTCCAGATTCTTGGTTGTCAGGAACCGTTTGAATTTTTCAGATTACACAAACGGTCGAGAACCTATGGTGTTTTAAAAAAAGGGTGAAAAAATGTGTCGGTGCCGACACTTTCGGTGTTATAGCCTGGCGGGAGGCATGTAAAGCCTGGTGGCCCACCAGGATTAGAATGTGCTGTGGGAAACCCTGGAATTCCATCCATGTTGGAGACCAGAAACAGAAGAGGATTTAATGGAGATAAAGGTGTGCTAAAACCTTAAAGCAGCTATCATCTTCACACTCAAACGAATAACAGTAATTGGACAGGGTCAAGGACAGCTACTTTACAATGAGCTTTCCAGACGGCAGCGCAGTGTAGTTCAACTCTAATTCTGTTAATGTCTGAGAATGTTTCCATACAGGTGCTGCATTGTCTGCTTGGCTGGGCACAGAAAAAAATATGCTGGTGTAGAGTCTCAGTCACCAGGACATGGCGTATTCATTTATTTCTAAAGCTTACAATAGAACACTAAGCTAGAGGCCTTCATAAATGTGACCAAAACATCTCCCTGTCAGGCAAAACAAAGACCATAACAACTTGCTGGTGGAAGGGATGGGAGATTTATC